GAGGATGTTTAATTGCTGCTTCTGACAGAAGTTCCCCTGACAGGGGGACTCTAACATGCTTACTGGTTCTGTGACGGGGACAAACTAATGCTTGGCTCTTCTACTTGGGCATATTGAGCTTTGACAAGGCCTCGCTGATGTTTTTCAGACCCCTGCTGTAATCCACACTTATTCTTGTGTGTGTCTCCTCTTCTTTAATTCAGGTAGCAGAGATGAGAAGAACCCTGACGCCTTCCAATTCTCCGATGTCTTCTCCTAGTAAGCACGGTGACAGATTCATTCCCTCAAGAGCTGGGGCCAACTGGAGCATCAACTTCCACAGAATAAATGTAGGTTTAGCTCCTGCAGCTCAGTCTCGCAGCTAAGGAAATGGTGCATATTATTTTGCCTGCGTAATTGCTCTGCTTGTCTTCTGCTGCCCCAGAAGAGTTCCTCTGAACGCATTGCCCCTGTGGTCTAGGAGACTTCTTTGTTTGTTAGTTCACCGTATATCCTGAGGTTTCTGTGTGGTGATAGCGCCTGTCTCCCTTTCAGGAAAATGAAAAATCACCAAGTCAAAACAGAAAAGCAAAGGATGCGACATCGGACAATGGCAAAGGTGAGACCTCCTTTCTACCACTTGCACCGCGCCTGGAGCTTTTATTTCCTTCGTGCTTATGCAAAAACTCGTGCTGGTGTGTTAGGAAATGCCCCCATCACGAGGGTGAATACCGGGTCACCTCAGTGGGCTGCTGACGAGGCCTGGGAAGCGAGAGGCTATTTGTATCCCTTGATTTATTGTACCGTAGAAGCACTTTCCTGGTGGGGTGAAAGAGGGGAAGCTTGCTGCTCATGTTGATTCCAAACTGGGGCCCCAGGCTTATGAAGAGGCCCTGGGAACGTGCGAGCCAGGCAGATGTCGTCCTGCCACTCCCTGCAGAGCTGCCTGCTGCTTCCGAGTCCTGTGCCTAAGCGCTCGTTTGGGTTCACAGATGGCCTTGCTTACTCTGCCTTGCTGAAGAACGAGCTCTTAGGAGCAGGGATCGAGAAGGTGCAAGACCCGCAGACAGAAGACAGGAGGCTGCAGCCGTCCAACCCGGAGAAGAAGTCTCTCTTCACTGTGAGTCGGTTACGTTGCGTTAAAACCAGTGGAGGCTGCACGTGTGCGTCGCAGGAACACAGCACACGGCTCTGCCACGCTGCTGGTGCAAGGGAGGTAGTGTTGTGGCTTGACCAAGATAAGCTGCTGGTAACAAAATTTGGTGGCCTGTAAAGAGAGCAGAAGTCTCTGCAGCAAGCTGCGTGCTTCCTGTTTCTGTACTGGCGGGGAAGCCGAGCTGGAACCAGGCTTTTCTGGACAGTGATAAGCGACCACATCGAGCTTTTGGACTTGAGTGGAGGTCAGGGTTTTGCTGTGTGGTTCCAGAGCACCTGGGAGAGGGAGCGATTGAAAAGTCTGGAAAATCTGACTGTGGGTGTTGGAGTTAGCTAGGCACTGGGCACCAGCGCGCGTTGGAGGGATGCTCTGGAGTCTGGGCGTGCTGGCGTTCTTACCAGGTGTGTTTTCTTCGTGCAGTATTCACTGAGCACAAAGCGCTCCAGTCCAGATGATGGTAACGAGGTCTCGCCGTACTCCCTGTCTCCTGTCAGCAACAAAAGGTATCACTGATTCTCCACAGGCTGCGAGAAGGGACGGGCTGGGGCAGAGGATTCAGTGAGGCTCTCTGGGGCTTCTTGCTAAGGCACCCAAAATTGCTGTCTGAATTGCTGTTGGAAACGTGGGGAGATGGTGAGCAGGGACCGTCAAGGTCTAAGAA